TTTTTATTGTTATGTTTTGGGGTGTTCTCATACCTTGTGTGTTAATTATTGCGGGGGGGGGGGGGGGGGGGGTCACAATCTGGAATTTTGCAAGCTTTTCATGAGAATGAGAGGTACATTACTTGTGTATCATCATAGGCAAAGGATTTGAAAAAGGAATTGATGTTTTCTGTTTTTGGTAAAAGTTAAGTAGGAAGAAAAAAAAGGAGAAAAGATATCTTATTAGAGAAACCCATTTTGTCTGAAATCCCAGTTTTATGGACGAAAAACAAAACCATTTTACAATTTAAAATCTGGTGCACTTACACAGATAGTACGTTTAATTACCACCCTCATAATTGAGACACAGTGGAGTATTAAAAGAAGCATGCTGAGAACAAATGTAATTACAGTATCTCACTTTAGATGTTACAAAACAGTTGGAGGTGGTAAACAGAGGGAATACCTAAACTCTGGAAAAAACCCTTTCTTTGCTTTCTGCACACTTCTCAGTGTGATGAATTCTGTCCATTACCTCAGTGAAACTTGCCAAAATCCATGCCCAGTGTAGAGAATTTAAAACCAGGTCACACATTAACAGGACTGCAAATGTCTATCGGCCTGAAGCCTGGACTCTGAAATCCGTTGACTTGTCGGGGGGGGGGGGGGGGGGGGGTGAAGGATTCTTGTTCATGGCCATTTCACACATGCAGCAGCAGAACCGGCGTTGTCTGCATGTATGTGTTCACCCCAACCATCAGCCTGGTCATGATGAAGGAGTGAAACATCTTCTTAAACACGACTGAGGTTTAATCTGCTGTGAAGGAATCAATCAGAGCAGATCTATATGTTTGCTTTGACTTACAACAAGAAAACTGAAGTCCACATTGGCCTACTGCTGTATCTCTAACTGTTAGACTCATTCATTTTACTGCACCCACTGTAAATGTTCAGGAAAGTCAAAATAGGAATTTTCATTGAGATTGTTCCTAATGAAGGATGAAAGGCTTCCTGCAAAATGAAACTACTTCAACTTAAAAAAACAAATCTGTATTTTACCCAAACCACATATAATAAGAATACTACTACTACTACTACTAATAATAATAATATATTCCAATAATTAAACAATAATACTGAATTATACCAGTAAATTATTGCAATTCAACATAAAATAAAAAATAAAATTAATATACATATTGTTTAAAAGACTTCAAGCGTTAATGCACAGTTTTAATATAAGAACACCCCCTTCATTTACATAAGTCTGTTTTCATTTTCACTTCAGATTTCTCTTTGCCAATAAAGCCAATTCTGAAATAATAATAGTATTTATATTAATGTCAATAAAGACAATACCAGTAATAATGATTTTCTGATGTTTTTTTGCTTCCTCTCCTGTTTGCAGACTTGAAGAAGACGCTTGCCGTACTGCTAGATAACATCATGTTACGTCTTGGAAAACTGGAGTCTAAGGTGGAGAACATCTACAATGCTACAGGGGGAAACCTGACCAACGGTACCAGCACCAGCACGCCCACCGCCAACAACCCAGAGAAGGTTAACGTGGCAGGTACTGTAGGTGTTTCATATTCTTGATGTGGAATTCTTCTCTGTAACATGAGACAGTACATTTGACTGTGGTATGCACAGCAAATAGAGACACTGACGTCAAAAGAACATGGGCTACAGTGTAACTTCCATTCCAGAGGCAAACGGCCGCCTCAACTCTGCCAGTTTTACTCAGTGCACACACTGGGCTTTATCAGAACCCAGACCTCCATCCTTGGATCTAATACAAATCAGGCCTCTGCTCATGCTGCGTGACCCTTTTTATTAGTTCTCATTGATTTTACTGCCAACGCTGAGATGATGAATTCTGCCTCAGCTGACAGAGTGAGCTGTTGATTCTTTTTGCGACTCTGCTGGGACTTGGTCTGTGCTCCCACTGCAGCCTTTTACTGCAGGAATGTGGAATAAAATGTCATAGCAGCAATTAATTTCTCATTAGATAGTAAATGCAACAGGTTCACTGTTGATGCTGTCGTATTTAGCTTTGGGATTTTTTGAGAAGTTTTCAGTTCTGGAACCAGGATCAAAATAATTGTTGATTTGTGATCTTTTGTAAGAAGTCCCTTGACTTTTGTTTGTTCTACTATTGTTAACAGAAAGAAGGCTGTGATAATGTGAATGGCTCTGAAACAGGCCCATGAGTTTCAATTATAACTCCCCATATATGGTGGGAACATTATACCTTTTCTGAATACATTAAAACAAATGATAATGGCTGGAATTTCTGAGGTTTTTAAAATGGGTGATTAAAGTGAAGTTACCTGTTTTACATGTACACTTGTAATCGTAATTGTGCGTCAGTCCTTCTGCCGCTCATTAGGCTGATGACTGTCACCATTCAAGCCAAGAGTTTTAGTGAGTGTGTGGAAGCCAACAGCAGTAGCACTAGCACTGAGCAGGCCTGTGTGCATGTGTGTACTTTATTAGTATTGATCCATGTTCTGAGGTAGTAAACAGGAGAAGATGGTACTAAAGGCAGGAACCAGGTTCCCGAAGTTTTGGCATTGAAGAACTTGTCTAAAAGTGCTGTTTGTCAATAATCCCTCACCCTTCCTCTAATTTGTAAAATTAAAAATAAAAATCAGGGAAATCAGAGTGTTCTTCAGGTTTGTCTTACCGTTTCAGAAACTCGACCCCTGTCCTTTCTATCCTGTATGTGCAGTGAGCCCATGGTTCTCGCCTTTCACTGTGACAAACAGAGATGTGAGGAAATCAATAGCCGCCAGAGACAATGCAGTGAAGATTCCTTGAGTCGTGAATTCTCCAGGTTTTGTTGATGGTGAATAAAAGAGATGCAGAGGGACATTGAGCTACACATCAGCTCCATGTCACTGGAGAGACTGAAGAGACAACCAGGAACTGACAAACAGTAGCTAAACATAACCAACTGACTAATCACTGCATGTGTCCATCTCTGTCTGCAGCAACCAAGGACAGATTGGTTTATAAATAGAAGAGGCTTCTGCTCCAGCAGAGTCTGTCCTTCAGTGAATGCAGCAACATTTAAGACCGTTCTTAGCAGAAATCGATGGCGCTCTCATTGCATGATTAGTGAGTGTAACAGAACAAGAGCCAATCGATCAGCAAACCAGTAACCTGTCATTTCACCTGAACCTTTATTTTTCAGGAAAAGTGACAAAGTGACAATCATCGGCGTTGTGACTGAAAGGTGTATTTCTAACGTCCTCATTTTTACACAATTTACTCTCAGGCAGAAGTTAACCCTTCTCAGCCCAGCTTGCAACTTAACAGGTGTGCTGCTGCTGCTGCTGCTGCTGCTGCTGCTCTTTGTGTAATGCACGCCCTTCATTAGAACCTTGAGACCTTTGAGGCAGACAGGAAATTCTTCTCGCCTCCACATCCTGTTATAACCTGCCTTTGTGTTCGTCAGTCGAATGCTGGCTGCACTTCTTCAAAACTCCAGGCCTGTGTGTGTGTGTGTGTGTGGGTGTGTGCATGTGTGGGTCTGTGCGTGTGCGTGTGTGTGTGCGTGTGTGTTTTTGGTAGTATTAGCCTGTCTACACTTGTCTTCACAGTGAAGCTGACTTTCTGATCGGCCTCTTCTCTCTTCACCGTATTAAAACACTGTTTCTACCTGTGTTTCTTCATTGTCAGCATCAGATTTATTGGTCTATATTGGTTCATTGGTCCGAGCTCATCACGTCAGACGGGTTGGTGATGAGGATGTGCTGATGTAAAGGCACTCTGGCACAGTGCAGTAATATAGCAGCCAAGTGAGAAAGGCATCATCCTCGTCTGTTTGGGAGAGGTCCAACGCTCACTTGACTTGACATTGTTTCTCTGCCTCCCTTTGTTGGACATGAAGGGAACATTGTATGTTGTGCCTCATGCTGATACAACTTCAGGTTTTTCTACTTCCACAAATGCACACAGACTGGAGCAGCATTCTTTAGATTCTGTGGAAATGCAAAATAAAAATAAAAATAACAAAGGACACAACAGCCTAGATATGACATCATACCTGTGACAAACCGTCCCACCCTGTGTTTCGGTTGATGCATACAGTTAAAACGAAATATTTTAAAGCTCAACCTCTTCATGTATGATAAGGAAATCATACATGAAAGCCTTTATTTTTGTGTGTGCTTTTGCCAAATACTCCTCGCAGTCGATGCCCCGGTCTTCTAGAAACAAAGATAAGGAGCTGTGCTGCAGTTTCTGCCTCCCAGCGTCTTATTGTATACATTCCCTTTGTTATTATGATCCACACTGCCAGCTACTCGTCGTTCCAGGACAGTGACACACATGAGCGTAAACTGAAACTGCTATGCAGACGATCAAAGACAAAGTTCTATTTAAATTCTGCTCTATGGAATTACTCACAAGACAAAAAAGACCTTCAATAGCTTTAAGGTTAGTTCTTAGTTTTGCTGTTCTTAGTCTGAAATTCTTTTTCAAAAGGACATTTATGTACTTGTCAAAAACGGACACAGTAGCTACCTTTTACTGCCACCTACTGTGGTCAGTTTCTTCCCTCTCAGGTAAAAGTGGGTTGTACAGTATTGTGTTACGGCCAAGACAGTGGTATACATTTACTAAATCCCCCCCTTTTGTTTTTGAAGTATTTAAGGCAAACTTGTTGTACCTGTTCTGCTGAGGATGTTTTGTGAAGATGTGGTAGCCAACACTCAAAAGAGGCAGTAATGGGCGACTCTGACTACAGCGACAGAGGAAGATCTTAAAGCTCGAAGTTAAATACAATCATAGACGATCCATGATGTGCTGCTCAGACACCTGGCCCATAAAGCCAAGGGCTTATCCCTTCAGGGTGCACCAGGGATTATTCCTGCCAGCGGCCAACAGAACCTTCAGCTCCTGGTTCTGAGAGTCATTGCCGATCTTACTTCATAACGTTGTATTTGTACTGTAAAATAGTTTGTTTTTGTGGAGTATTTTTATTAAGCCCTTTTTAAAATCTGCTACACATGGTGTTTTGTGAGCTTATTTGATTATACCCTATTTTGTTATACTTTTAAAATATTTTCTACATATTTCACCTTTCCCCTGGGGACCAATAAAGTATTTTTGATACTTTACCCCCGCCGCCCATTTTCGATTTTCACTGGAACCTTAGTCATTACCCTGCAGCTTCAAGAACCAATCATGTCTCGTGTGTCCTTGGGCTGCTCTCACTCCAGAATCCCATTTTTCCTCCTGGATATTTTGGGGACAGAGAAAAGTCGTGTGCTGATTAGCAGAACGTTGCAGCACAAAGAGGGATTGATTACAGCCAAACCCAGTGAAGCAGAGGTGGACAGAGAAATGGGAAACTGGACGTGGGCAGGTGAACAGGGGTTACAGGAGGAAATTTGGATCTCTTTTTCCTGACTCTCAGACCAGAAATAGAGACAGAGGAACCTGTTTCAAACACATGGCCGTAGCAGTAGGAAATCTGTGTGGTGCATGAGACGGCCACACAAGTGTTTTCCAGAAGGTCTTTGGTCATGTAAGGTTTGCCAGAAAGGTGGCTTACCACCACATGCATACTGTACAAGACAAGAGTCTTTGTTATTTAGGAATTCAAAACAGACCTAATTAAGAACAAACGTGCAGGGACTTTTAAAAAAAAAACAATTGATGGAATGAAAAAAAAACAACAAAAAGAACTGGTCCTGGTCCAGTGTTATATTACAGCCGATCAATCTCAACGACAGCTCATAAAAAGTCCTGACATTAATAATCTGTCATTTTATGAGTCTGACTTTAGCTCTTCTCTTTGCAGCACCACAACCTCAACATCTTTCACAGGCTGGAAATGTCTATAGGATCCTTTTTAAATGAACATTAAGTTCATATAAAGTCATGAAAATGAACTCACTTGGTTTATAAGGACAGCAATCTCACCTTCTCACTTTCCTTATTTTTTGTTCCTATGTCTCTGTCGAACCCACAGTCACTGAAGTACTGGGACTTTGTCATGGCTATTTCCTAGTATTGGTGTCTGCTGTGGAATCGGTTCTTTAAAAAATAAATAATTTTTTTAAAGAATGAAATGAATGAAAATGTATTGAAAAAATGTAAAAATACATTAATAGTTGATCTCTAGAGTGAGTTTCTGAGTTGAATGATGTGGAAATGATGCTCGGTGTGGAGGGGGTTTCCCTGAGAAGTGTGTGTTCTGTGAAGACTGGTCCATCAGAGGAGCTGCCGTTTGTCTAATTGATGAGTTTCTGCTACTGATGCCAGGATGTACACAAACTTTCACAAACCCATGCTGTTTTCTCCACTTCCTTCTGCAAAGTGCATCTAAAATTAGGCTCTATCTGCCAAGTTCTTTCCTCCTCATCCTTTATTTCTCTTCCTCTCATCGCAGGTAGCGGTTCTGTTAACTGCCAGGACATTTCTCGCTGCGATGTTAAGTAAATTAATGTCAGCAAACAATAGGGCCTTTGGCAGATTATCTGGTATTTCAGTGGAAGAATTGAATTGAAAAGAAAGTGTCAAATAGAGCGATAGAGAATCAAGACGAGGAGGAAGAAAGAAGACATGAAACAGATTAAGAAAAAACAGATGTTCCACTGTAGTTCTGCAGCTGTCAAATGTCAGATTACCTCATGGCCTTGGAAAAAACACTCAGAGGGAGAGAGAGAGGGAGAGGGAAAGGGGAAAATAAACTTGTGGTTAAGATTTCTCCAGCTATCCAGAGAGAGGACATTTAGGAGCAGTCGGATCACTATCAGTGACCTCAGTGCTGGATGATCTCATCTCTGTTATCGTTCCGGCTCTTAATTATTAAATCCTTTGCCAATTACCTCTTTCTGAACCTTTCCCTGATCCAAGCTCGCTGCCAAAGCTGTTATGATTCCACCAGCTGGAAATTCTTGTTTTTTTGGGAGCAGTTGTTTACAATAATTATTTTTTGACTAACTTTGGGTTTTGAGTTTTTGGGGAAACCTTTATCGATATCATTGACAGTGTCTATTTATTGTGTTTAGTTTTGTGTTTTGCAAGACTTGAGCTATTTCTGGGCTTTCTTTTCTGTGTTTTGGCCCACATTTTAAATGTTGTGTCATTTTATGTCTATTGTGCTTATTTATGGACTTTTTTGTAGCTAACAGAGACTTTTGTCACATGATCGCAGCCATAAAGTGATGAAGTTTGTCCCATCAGTTTTGTTTCAGGTGACTGTCTTTGTTACTCAGCAGATGACGGTTGTGATCTCATTGTTTTCCCTTTCAAATGCTGTACACCCAGTTCTTAGTGGTTAAGGGCTGAGAGCTGTTATATTTAGCCACTCCTTGGCAGCAGCGTCTTCTGCAGGTTAAGGCAACAACATTTGCCATTTACCTGCTGGCAGAATGACAGGCGGCATAATTTGCTTAGTTGTCACTTCAAATCTGTGAATCAAAACAGCAAAACAATCATAGGTATATCAGAACCTCCAAAGTACTTACAGCTAAGACTCAGACAATAGTCAGTAAATTAATTGATCGCACGATAAATCAAGTCAATAATTTTGCCGACCTTGATAAATTGCCAAGTGAATGCGTGTTTGTTTTCCGCTCTACTTTAAACAGACTGGATGCCAAGGAGTTGAGTAAGCGAGTGAACCCTCTTGTCATCCAGTAGTTCTTCCTAGACTCTTCTGGAAAAAAAACCTACCAACCAGAGCCCTGCTGGAATGACATCAGCCATGTTTGCTGTTGTTTTTACTAAAGACATTGTCAATGTTCAGGTGGGATTGACACATCTCTCAGCTTCATGTGGTTTTCCCCAATAAAAGGACAATTTTCCTGACAGGCGGTCGTATATCAAGAACCACAGATCAACCACAGGCTTCAGCTATTAGGACTAAATGATGGGGCTCATGTCAGTGTGCCAAGGAGCTCACCACTGCAGAAGAAAGCCTTTTATTTTTCAATAAAGCCCCAGCACAGTTGTCTGTTTTGAACAATTTTGATTTCCATTACAGAGATGGAAAAAGGACCCCTGTGTCATATTCAGTCAAACAATGTAACATCATTTAAATCTAAACTGATGGGATCAGTGGGCTTTAAAAACAGAGCTGAGGAACTGACAGGAGACAAACACAAGTCTTTGCTATAAAACCATAACTGTTCAAGGCTGTGTCTCACCTTGGTCTTTATAAAAAAACACCTCTGTCCTTTTGGCAGAGCCTGACAGGAAATTGATCTTGTCTAAGGTAATCTTACATTTTTCTTCCCTCTAGGAGCAGACACGGTGTACTGCACAGCGCACGTCTAAGGATTACTGAAATGTGAAACTTCTGATGCACTGCTAGGAGCAGTCGTCCCGACTGTTTTGACCATAAATGATTTTCATTTCTTATCTCCGTCCCTCAGATCTCCTGAATGGGGCACAGGAGAAGTGTGATCTGCCTTCTCTGGATGGTTTCCCTCACTGTGAGAGCAAACTGAAGGTGAACACACACACACACAGACACACACACACACACACATCCATGAATTTAACAACTCTTTGTTGTCAGTGAGGGTGACCTGGCACAACATCGTTAGCGTGATTGGAAGCCTGTGTGAAATTTGTAACAGTTTTCCTCAACAACATTTCTAGAAAGTGTTACTCACCTTTTTGAAACCTTTTTTTTTTTTTTTTTTGGATTTAAGTCAGGGATTTAACATGACAGACTAAAGCGGGTTTGACTTAATGTTACAGACTGAAGCGTCCCATCAGTGAGCTTACACACCAACCATACGCAGCAGCAGTAGACCTGCTGATCCTATGCTGTCTGAAATGTAGAAACCCAGTTTAATTATAATTTCCTTATTTTCATTTGCTTTTCCTCAGTGGATGAAGGACATGTGGCGTTCAGACTCCTGTTACAGCAGCTACGGCGTGGATGGGTCCACCTGTTCCTTCTTCATTTACCTCAGTGAGGTGAGTCCCTGATCCTCAAACAAACAGATGTAGTAATCAAGTTCATCAGAGGGGTTCCTAAGAGAACCAGAGTTCGACTTCACTCTCATGGACCAGGGATAACCCTGTGATTTAGGAGGACTGTTAATGGAGCTGTAGATGATAATCTGGTGCGTACTGTACACTGTTCTACTTTCATTTATTCTCCACCTGTAGCCTGGTACTAAATGACAAACAACCCTGTACTGGTGGGGCTCGGTTGGTGCAAACCTCCACCTTGAATTGCAGCCAATATGGAAATGTGAAACAATGGAATGCCAGCACACTATGTTGTACAAAGTTCATAAAAAAACATTTAAAATAACTTTTTTTTTTCAGTTGCTCAAAATCCTGCTACATTTTCACTTGAAAGCAAAAATGTTTTATATCATGAAATGGCTGAAAAAGATTATTGCTGGATGAAAAAGTAAAAAAATGGCGCACACATTGTAGGATTTTCTTTATCATAATTAAAAAGGGACATAAGTAAAACGTTAAATACAAACACAAGCATAAAATGCATACAAAACCTACTTTACACAGTATCATGTCACAGAGCCATCTCTGCCTGGTGACATGTCACTGGTCAGTCTCTTCTCTCTGACAGTTGACAAATCTGGATGTTTGTGATTATATAGTATAATAAATAAAAATAATTAATTAAATAATTAATAATGGCAACAATAATGGCCAATAATGGCCATGGCAACACTGACTGGATTTTCATGTCAGAGAAGTGACATTGTTTCTTTGACTTCTGTCCCTTCAGATTTATTTCCCTTTTTCTTTTCTCAAATTCCTGTTCTTTTTACTTTACTCCCTACTGTGTTTTTTGTTCTTCCCCACATTTTGCTTTTTTCTTTAATATCCTCCTACATTCCCTCACTCTTCTCTATGTCCTCGTTATTTCCTCTCATTTTCCGTGTCTATTCCGCTGATTTAATAGACTCCAATACCTGACTTATATTTCATTTTCTGTCATTTTTGTTTGCCTAATTCTTACCCTCTGTCATTTGCTCTTGTTACCTCCCTTATACCTCTTCCCAGTCAACATGAAAAATGTAAATGTTTTTGTTATGGATGGTCATTTCCTCCTTTCTCAGACTGAGAAAGGTCTGGTCGGCCTCGTTGGTTATCTTGTTGACCGACAGGCCAGAGGCTGCTGTCATATTTGATTTAAATCAGATTCAAATCAACAAGGAAACACAGCGTTGGCACAATGGAGCCTTTTTTGAAACGGCTGAAGCTGTGAGAGAACAAAAAGAGAGTCAGACTGTGGTAAAGAAAGGTTTAATCTTGTATTTCTCCTATCGAACCACAGTTGAATGAAGCTAAAAATAATAATAATAATAGATTTTCCTCCTGTTTGGGGTGTTTGTTTAGACAAACATGGACAGGCCTGTTGCTGCGTCAGAATTAAGGATTAAAATGGGATCTACTTCTTCAAAGGAAGTAAATACCACTAACAGTCTTGACGCAATACTTTCTCTCTGTGGCTGGCAGTTGCAAAACAAACTTGATTAAAATAGTGTTGACATTGTTGTCTTAGCACAGTAACCCACACACTGTGGTTTCACTGAGGCAGGGAAAAATCACAGGAGCTGACATTTCACACTGCAACATTTTTACAATATAATAAGTAAAATAGTTCTGTTCTGTGTCAGATTAATTATATTGAAAAGTCAACGTCATTCATCCTTAACTCAGAAGTGTGCTCCTGCCACCTGCTCCTCCTGCTCCTCCTCCTCCTCCTCCTTCTAAAATGTGGTGTTACAAGTTTGGATGTTTATTTAACAGGTGGAGAACTGGTGTCCACGACTCCCTTGGAGGATAAAAACCCTGAGTGAAGACATAGATCGAAGACGACAGGTGAGACTCTGACCTTCGACTTCAAGTATCACACATGCAGAGCGGCTTCTAGAACAGGTTTTAGTCAATGGTAAATATTTCAATCAATAAATAAATATGTTCAGTGATTACTGTTAGAACCTGTTCAACTCTCCAACCAACCCCCTCTCACCCCCCCTCCCCCCACACACACACACACACATTATCTAGAACAAATTGAAAATGAAAAGTAAACTGTTTGTCATTGTGACACAGCACGCCTCTGCTTTGAACCCATCACATGAGCAGGGGGCAGCTCAAACACCCGGGGAGCTGGGTGTGGAGACGGTGACAAAGATAGTGAGACAAACAGTACACTATGTAGAGTTGTCGGTCCGGTTCTAGGACAGAGTCCATGAATGTAAATGTCTCTGTTTTTTTAAAGCCTCTCAGTAAAACTCTTAGGGACAATTCAAAGGTTTTAAGAGCTTTTCTTTTTCTCCAAACCCTTGAGAATTACTGACATAATATAAAAGTGATCACCTGTCAATGCGGCAGCTCACACCAATCCCACCTGAAGGAAACCGCCAACATTCCAGTCTCTCAGCAACAGAAGAATCAATACTGGACTCTCTTCTTGTCTCTAATCCTGTCTCCTCTGGGTGCAGCGCGGCCTCAGACTGAGCGTTGATGTCCTCTGACAGGCGTCTGAGATTTCAATTCAGGCCCAGGTTGTAATGAGTTCAGTGATTCAGGAAATGATTTCCTGTCGGGATGAGGAATGCTAATGCTGCGCAAACCACAGCATCTCAGCCACCTGAGCAGCTGCTAATGGATGACACCGTTCTCTCTCTGTCTTTGGCTTTTTGGAATTTGCAGGCAGCAAAGAAGAGAAGTTAAATTTGAATTGATACGAACAGGATAAGATCAGACTATTCCTGGAGAAAATGATCAAACCAAAATCAAGTAACCTAAAAAAAAACTGTGTGTGTGTTTTGTACAGGCTGAAGTGCGCACCAGTTTTGATGAGCTTTACCGTGTGATGTCACAGCGGGAAGAGTTTCGCTGGATGATGCTAAGAATCAAGAGAATGGCCGATCCTTGGGTCGACGCCATTCGCTCGCTGGCAGCCAAACAGAACCTAGCCAAGCGTCAGAGGAAGAAGGTGGGCTCAAGATGCATTTTTGTTTTTAAAAGCTCAAATAAAATTATATATTTTAAATATAAAAGGAGGATGTGTGGAAGGAACACAGTGTTCCACGGCAGGAGCATGAATGTTTTACATTCTTTTTGAAGTCATTTCTCATCATTGACAGTCCCAGTGCTGTTGTTGGAGATAATTGCAGGATTAATGAGTGAGGAGTAATTTCCAAAAGAGATTCATTGCTGAACTGAAGAAGCAGCATCGGAAAATACCTGCGGACGGACCATTGTGTACAGGAGCTTTTTTTGTTTGTTTTTTTTAAGCTCTTGTGCCAAACCGTGAGGTTCACATCAGCACCTACGTATAACAGGGATCTAATGTGAATACCTCACAGAACCAGTGGAAAGTGTTGGTAACCTGGAGTTGGTTGGGTCAGGTCTTTCTCTAAAGCCTTGATAAAGCTGCTTTACAAATGTTAAGGACTTCACAAGATTTGGATATGACTTTAAAAAACATAAATGTAGAAATATTATCCTAAGACCTAGGGTTATATTTGTCGTGGTCTATTTTAATTTTAGTTTAGAAAGCTGCAGAGACCTTTGGAGATTTGCAGTCACACTTAGTGTGACACTGAGGTCTAAACAAATGATATGAAACACTAAGTCAATACATAAATAAAACATTTGAACCTCTAGGTAGAGGCAGCAGGGAATCAACAACTGTGCTGTGTAAAATCGCTGCCTTTCTCTGTGGGCTTTGGGAAGTCTTTATTAGTTTTTATGTCGATTATCAACTCTAATTTTAATTGCACGGGACTGTGCAAAGCAGTTCTTAAGACATCGTAGATTTAGGCGAAGACAACTTTATTTAGCTGGATTACCATGTTATCCCTGTAAAAAACATGCCTAACAACATTTTTCTACCCTGCAGATCCTCGTCCACTTAGGTCTCTTGACGAAGGAATCTGGATTTAAGATCGCAGAGAATGCTTTCAGCGGTGGCCCCCTGGGGGAGCTGGTTCAGTGGAGTGACCTGATAACTACACTCTACCTTCTGGGTCATGACGTTCGAATCTCAGCCTCTATTGCTGAGCTCAAAGAGTAAGTAACACATAAAACGTGTCTGTCCATGGAGCATCATCTTGAACCGCAATAAAAGAAAGAAGTGCAGGATTTTTTAACCTAAATCCCAGCACCACAGAAACCAAACCTAAGACCAGATTAAACCAAGGCCAAAGCTTTTAAGACGACATTATATTAAGACGACAGAACACTGTCGAAGAAGACAAGGTGAAGACTCAGAGTACCAGAGTACTTGAAGACTAAAAGTAGACCATGACTTTAAGGGACCAAGAACCAGAAATCTAGATGAGCAAATCATGGAGGACCGTTTTTGTCCATTTCTTTCTAAATGTCTGTGAATAAAGACTCAAACAGTTTGTCCATTTTTGTGTTATGATTAAAAAAATTTTTTTAAATTTTATTTTGTACTATATTTTCCCAGAATCATGCGTAAAGTGATGGGTAACAAGTCCAGTTGTCCCACTCAGGGTGACAAGATAGTGGAGCTCATCTACATCGACATTGTTGGACTCACACAGTTTAAGAAGACCCTGGGACCCTCCTGGGTCCACTACCAGTAAGTCTGCTCATTCTGCTGATTTCTTCTAGTTAATGGTACAGTAACATGTTCATGGTAATACCATGTGATGGTGATGTGGGAGGAAACACCATGTAGAGCTTCTTACCGTCCCTCAGTCCCCTGATTTCCCCTGCTCTACTTTCTTAAGTAAAGGGCTTGAGTTTAAGGAACTGTTTGCAACACAGTGGCTCTGTTTCCTGCTCACACTCACCACAGTTTCCCTGAAGGGCAGAGAAGCAGCAGCAAGGGCAGCAGTGGTGGCCATTGTTTGTGTCACCATCGCTCCTCTGCTCTATTCTTACCCTGATGACTCCACTGAGGACGGGGAACAAGACCTTGAGCCGCTGTTCAGTAAAATAGCTGTCATCAGTTTCCACTGCCAGGAAAAGAGCAGGAACTGTATGTCTGAGGGCACTAATGGCCCCGCCAGTTCCTCCTGTCAGTCACCAGCCTTTGTTTGGCATCGTCATCAAACTGGGTTTAGAATCAGGCTGCAGTTTTCTAACAGAATTATTTTGCTTTTTGTTGTCTGGTTCAGGGACTAATTTGAAGACAAAAACAGTTCAGTTCAGTTCCTGTTTTTTATGCAGCTACCCTCAGCTCCTGGACACAATACCTGCAGTGGAAACACACAGCAATTCAACAATGTCTAGGTATGGCAGTAGAGGAGTTCCGATTGTAATGTTTGGGCTGAATCCGAGTTCCAATGTATAACTTGCGGGATAGAGTTTTTTCAGTTGACAACATTGTGCAATAACAAAAGGTGTGAACATTCAAAATAAGTACTTTACTAAAGGTACCATTACAAATGTGAAAAATATTGTAACAGTCGGGATGTTCTATAATGGAGGAGGAGTCAACTGTTTACAGGTATGGGAGAGAAAGGAGGACGGTATGTGTGTGTGAGATAGTGGAGATAAAGAGAGATGAAATAGAGAAGTTGGAATTAACAACATTTAAATTCAGGTAAATATTCAGAGCAGGTTGTTGCCGTCTGTAATAAAGTTCAATAACACATAGTTCCTGGTACATTAGCAAGTTGCTGACAGTAGCTCATGTACACCGGGCTAGTACTCTTCTTCTTTACAGAAATGGCTTGGTTAGATTTTTTTTTTTAGAGAGAATTAAATCTGTAATGTACATTATTGTCATGGTCCCTTGTCCCTGGTATGATGAAATGGACAGGTTCCTAGTACTAGTTATTATATGGTAATAAACAAATCTATCAGTTGATAGTTTTTTGTGTTGTAGTAAAGTCACACATACAGTAGTTTCTTTATTCCCAGTAGTGTTTCTTTTCTAGAAACACACTCTTTGACCTTTCTACAGAACATTCCCCTGTCTTCTCACTGTAGTGTCATACCAATATGCCTAGATGGAGAAAAGATCTTCAGATGATTGTTGTCTGGATGTACAACTGTTCCTCTGAACGACTACAGCAAAGGCAGGATGCTGTTGAAAAACCAAACGAGAAAAAAGAAAAGAAATAAAGAAATGTGACTCATGATTTCATAATTTCCTTTTGCTGTTGTCTGCACTCTCTGTCGTTAACTCCTCATTCTGTGGAAGGAGTGATTGGGTTTTTTTTAACAGCTGCCGACTTACAGTCGGTACAAGAAAGAAAGTTTAAACCTCCCTCTTTCTTAAAAACAGAAATAGATGGAAGCAGCAGGTTATTGGATTTGGTGTACAGAAATCTTGGAATCCCTACGGACGTTGTTGCAGTTAGAGAATGACTGCAAGACTAGGTTTTGAAACATGAATGAAGAAGTGAAACTGAACCTGTTAAAAATAGTCGTTGGATCAACATTTTGTGCAAGTAGAATTCAGTTTTTCCTTAGTCCACAATTTCCACAGCCATAATGTCCTGGGGAGCTTGAAAGTAGGTCTTGAAAGGTGCTTAAAAGACTCCTGGGAAAAGGCGTTTTACCCTCCATCTGTTCAGGAGGACAGAAGGTTGTGGGGTTTTTTCCTGCAGGGCCAGTAGATATGACATGTTGAGTTGTTGTTGTCATCGTCGTCGTCGTTGTTGTTGTTGTTGTTGTTGTTGTCAGTGTAAAACGTTCCTCCTGGCAGACATTTTCCCAGTCCTTCTCTCTCTCTCAGGGCCTTTCACAAGTTCAGGCAGCCAGCTGTACAGCACCTGCTCAGAGGAGAACAGTGGAAGACAGTGAAGCAGGGAATGGTTTTGATGAGCTCAGAGTTTTTGGCTTCTTTTAAATGCTTCAGTTTATATCCAGGATTCTTCACTCTTCATATTTTGTGACATGTGAGACGTATTTGATAAAAGAAGACGATCAGAATGGTCGAAACAACAACATTGATGGTTCTTTGCTTTTTTCAGTTTAGGCTGTTGTTGTTGGGAATTCCTGTTAATTCTATGCTACATTATGGTTTCATATAAAAGAGTATAACTGGAGAACTAAACAAGAACGACTAACTTTTACCTACCCAATTAACGTTATTTAGATATACTGCGCTGAAGTATATGTTAAGCCACTTTTAGTTACATTTGTGCTCGACTGTACTTTACATTTCCAGATATGTGATGTTACCAAACCCAAAGACCATCGTAGCTATGTTTTCAATGGAGTTTTTATTCTTTCTTCTTATTTATTTTCTAATCCATAGAGCAGTGTGAAATACAACACAGCAGCAGTAGCTGCCAATGTGTTAGTAAAAAAGAGCAGGGAGGTTAATGTCTCCACTGCTCTCTCTCTCTCTCTCTCTCTCTCTCTCTCTCTTTCTCTCTCTCTCTCACAGCTTCACACAACCCCCCATTTTTCCAAGTATTGTTCTTTTTAAACCATACTTCAGGTTGTTTAACCTTTATAATGATTTATATAGTTCCTAAAAGTGCGCAGCTCACAGACAAAGTCATGAGCTGCACTGACGACCAGCTCTAGTTCTGGACATTACCTACATATGTGGAACCAGGATAGGTAGAACAAAACTTTCAGCCTCAGTTCAAGTCCACACAGATTTCCACAGAGTAAATGTGCTTTTTTTTTAAGTTCACAGAGTTCTACTGCTGCCTCTAGTGGTCAGTTAGTGGCATTGAGGTAAATCCCTACCTTGTGACAGATTTGAGCTGATGTAGATTTCACTCAGTTATTCTGTTGTTAAGTAGCTTCTTTAAAAATTGAATATTTTGGGAGCGATGATTATGAGATTTTCAGTGAATATTTCTCTTCCGTTTCATCCCAATAATCTAACTAGGGACGCTTTAATGTGGTGCAGCTGTGAGTCATAAATTTAATTTGACTTCCTCAACCAACAGTGTTTGATTCTCACCACATCTGAATTTAACCTTTTGCCACAGTTGTCAGAATGGAATGTATAATTGTCTTTTTAATATTAAATTTATCCCATAACCTCAGTTTTTAAATATTTGCATCAACCATTCTTACGTAAAGTCATTCTCCACTCAGTGGTTTCCAGATGTAGAAAAAACACCAACGCTCAGTTGGAATAAATAACAATAAATAACAGACTTTTCTGCAGTCTCTTCAACATATTTATTTACCGAGTGGGTTTAATTTTCTTGTTTTGCACTTCTTTAACTCTGAGCTGTTGTGTTTTTAAGTTTACGTCATCCGTCAGTGTCGTTATAGTCACGGATGCCCACGGGAGTAGAAACTAGTCTTTTATTACAGGTGGGCTCTGTGCCATTAGGATGTTTATTTCTAAAATATTGTTGACTCTTCAACTTGTGACTTTTTTCAGGCATTTCTTGGTACAGTTCATTAACATATTTTTGTTATGTTAATTATTTGAAGTTGTTTTGGACTGTGGGAACAGAATTCACCCTCCACATGTTGACGTATCTTGTGCGAGGCGTGAATGGATTTAAAGTTGTACTGTACCTTTAAGAATACCAATCTTGCTACATTTCCAGGATAATGTCAATGTTTATCTTCTGGTGTTTAGAGAGTGGGTTTAGGTGAATCTGTTTTGAATTCCCACACAGTAACCATTCTGCCAGAATTGCATTTTATTGTATTTGTATTTAGCCAACACCTGAAGATTCTTTGGTTTCTTATTCTTTCACCTAATTCTGAGCTAATCCTGGTTTTATTTAGTCTGTTGGGGATGTTGGTCTATTTTAGTTACTTTTTAAAACTTGTGTTAATCATTTCAGAAATATTATTGACTATTTCCCTTCACAGGTGTATGTTGCGGGTACTGGATTCGTTTGGTACCGAGCCAGAGTTCAATCACGCTCACTACGCCCAGTCCAAAGGCCATAAAACACCATGGGGAAAGTGGAACCTCAACCCCCAGCAGTTCAACACCATGTTTCGTAAGTGCTTTTCCTGGTTTCTTTATGGCAGTCGTTCTCCAATTTTTTCTGCTCTGTACCACCTGAGAAAAAATTGAGCTCTCTGAGTACCACCAACATTGGAGTATAGCAGCAGAGGCCTTCATTATACCTAATCAACTAGGACGTCAACACTGTGCTGTACAATCTGCTGTGACTGTCAACTTTGTGGGGTTTTAATGTTGGTGATGTGGAGCCATGGTGGGATGGTGGAGGATTCAGCAGCCACTCACAAGAGAACTGACCTTTTCCCCAGCATTGGGAGAAAGAGGAACCTCATTGCTGCAGTCCCTGTTAGTGAAGTGAAGCTGCAGCCACCGATGTACCTGAATGACGCCTTTGTGCTCTGATCAGAGCCCGTCTTTCTCGTTGCACACTGGAGCTTTTGCTATAGACTTGGTGAAGAGTCTCAGGATTAGATGCTATCGCTGCTGGAACAAGTGTGCGGTCGTTTGTAGTGTAAAAAAAAATCTCCGTCAGGCCTCGTGTGGAGACAAAAGCTGACGATTGCCTGGGCAGACTCTCACAGTTTGTCCACTGATGGTTATCTGCACTTTGGTCTCATGTCAGGGCTGTCCAGATGACAGTCCAGGTATTGGATTTTATATTGCTTTTATCCAATTTCATAGTGTGTCAACATGATGATAAAGCCATGGTTATATATTTTTATTAATGGTGATTATTATCCTTGGTTGAGAGCAAACACACGTGAGGTTTATGGACTGAGGTAAATGCACTCAAAAAAGAAATCAGTCCCATCCAATCAGTGGGACATTTGACAGAAACGGAACAATTTTTTGGCCACTGAATAGGTTATTTTGACATCAGCAACTCAGTTTACGTTGTTTGAGCTGCTACATTTATCTTTAGTGCGCTGCAGTTCTTTATCCTGATTGTTTCATTTGTCATTATAAGACAATGCTCCATAAATCTTCCATCCAGGGAATTCTGGGAGGCCTCAGGCTAGAAATCAGAAAGAACATGTGCAAATTGACTCATTAATCTGTTTCAAAGTCAGAATGTTTTGGTGCTAGTTGAGTAAATGTCACCGAACACAGAAATCATTTATAACATATTTACAGATTCCTCTATTTATTTATTTCTTGTGTAAAGCTGCAGATTTACGGAGCCCCTAAGGGAAAATCATTGATGACAAAAGGTGCACACGAGTTCCTGCTGTGTAAACACGAGAAACTATTGCTTGAGCACTAAAAAGTTATTACGCGATCACAAGAGATTTATCTCATGCGCACGTGAAAATATTGTTAAAGCACGAGAAACGTTTTCCTGTATAGTGGTCGTCTGAGTTTTTTTGGCAGTAACATCCTTTCCATCTGTAGAAATGTCCGTTTCAGAGTTAATAGTTCTATTTTAAGCACAATTGGACCGACAATGCGCAGGTCATCTATAGCTATAATCTAGATTTAAAAGTTGTATACAATACAATATGTAGTATTTATAAATGACACACGACATATCAAAGTAGAAAAAGTTGTTTTTTTAACAAAAAGATACACACAAAACTCTTGAAGGACCAACTTTTGCCTAGATCCAAAAACTCATCCACGGTAACGGTCTTTTGAACAGTTGGGTGGTTTGTTCATAATGACCGACCTCGTAAAAATGTAACCCTCCTGATTCAACTCACCAACTCTCTTTGGCAGCACACTTATAGCCGGCGTGCCGAATTTGTGCTCCGTCAGAGCGGCTTCTCTGCCATAGATGTTGCAGGTGCATTATTTATTGATATAAATATAAAGGCCTCTGGATCTGAAATAGTTTGCATCAGGCTTTAAAAATAAAACATACAACAAAAATAAACAAATAAATCTTTTAGCAGCAATAGTCTGATGGAGTTAAATGTCTTGTGCAGACAAAGGTATCAAACAGACATTCCTGGTGAATTGTACACACGTATTAAGTCAATGCTTGGATTTCAACCTGTCTTAGCCAGTACAATACTCACCTGGTTGTCCACCTGGTTGTCCACCTGGTTGTCCACCTGGTTGTCCAGGCAGCTTGAAGTACATTCACACCTCATTAAATTGAAGCCTGCAGGTTGTACTACAATCACTCACTACAGTTTGGCTGTAAACTACTGTGGTTTTATTCATTGAGAAATACTCTACTGCTGCTGTAAGTATCTCTGTAGGTGGAGTTATTTTCAAACCTCCAGGCTCCAGTGGAACACTCCACAGTCTGTGATCGCCAGGATCAGCTCAGCTCAGCTCACTGGCATTCAAACTAAGAGAAAACATATAAGTCACCCACTGAGTAAATGTGTCAGTGACAACGTTCAACAATGTTTGTTTAACCAAGCTTGTTAGCTGAGCCTGGATTAGTTGACTTTTTTTAGGCACAGCTCCAAGAAAAAAAAAGAAGGAATCTGCTGCAGATGAATGGTCGTTTCACTTTGGCACAAATGTCAGAACTTGAAAACTGGGTGTCAGTGATGCAGACCATTTGGTTGATATTGTCCAAAGGCTGATTTACCATATTTAAAAACACTATTGTCCATTGATAGATGTCAGATTTTAAGCATCCTGTGAATAAACAAGAAGATTAAGGAAAATAATTCAACTTAAACACGAGCTGCAGTCGTTTCTGGAACTACTTTCAAATACTGACATCTAACTTGCTGGTATTGTGCCTGGAATTTAGTACAAAATCATTGTGTGTGTGTGTGGGGGGGGGGGGGGGGGGGGGGGGGGGAGGGAAAAACCAAGCAA